TCCCCTTCCTTCCATCCCCCCCTCTCCCCTCTCCCTTCCACTAGTCCTTCGTGTACCAGAAACATGATATACAGGTGTTCTTCAATGCTGAACAACAAAGACAGAAGATCATTGTCGTATGAAATGGTGGTGGACATAACCTGCTCATTGTTCTTATGAAATGATGGTGAAAACTCACTCAATGCCATTTGTAATAAGTGATGATGATGATGATGATAATAATGATAATTATGATAATAATAATGATAATAATTGTAAAAAATATAATAGTAATGATGATGATAATGATAATGATTATAACAGTAATAATAATCATAACAAGAACAACAAAATGATAATAACAATAATGGTAATAATGATAATAATAATAATATTAATAATTAAATTAATAAGAATGATAATGATAACAACAAAAACAGTAACAATAACAATAATGAAAATAATAACAATAATAATGATAATAATAATAAAAAAATAATAATATCAATAATAACAGTGATAATAATTACAACAAAAACAACAACAACAACAATAATGATAACAACAACAACTCCTTCACTGTTGTATAAAACTATAGTGAAGATAACAGCTATATTTCTCATATCTATTTCATCCTCCATTTTTTTTAAATATTTTTTCTTGACATATGAAGTTATAATCACTATGAATTAATTATGTAACAGCTGAAGTTTTCCGTCTTTTAATGAGGTTAATTCTATATTGATGAATCTGTATGCATTTATTTACAAAACGTACAAGCACTCAAGAGGTCTATCTATCTATTATCTATCTGTAAGTTAATCAGGATGCCGGTCTACCTCTATAAGTTTATTCCTTTTTTTCATAAATAATTATTTTATCTATCTATCTACCTATTTATCTATTGCTCTATCTATCTATCCGTCTATCTATCCACATCTATAACTTCATCTATCTATCTATTTAACTGTCAAATCCACATCTATATCAACATCTATCTATCTATTTAACTGTCAAACAAACTATCTACGTATGTATCTATCTATGTATCTATTTATCTTCTGTCGACACCATCACTATAACGGTGGAAATAATGGTGATCTGTTGACGAACAGCGGATACGAGCGGTGGAGATAATGCCCCTGTGTCACGTGATATATCAAAGAGATGTTTTGTTTACTTTTAGATCATTAATTCGATCGCTTCTTGTATGATGGAGACTTTTAAAATTATCCCCACAAAAATACACACACACACGCATATATATATATGTGTGTGTGTGTGTGTGTGTTTATACTATACTTATACCTCTTGAATTAAAGACTATCCTTTCATTCATATGTTATTTCAAGTGTCATTACAGTCATTATAAGATGTGCCTTAATCGTCACCACTGTCATACTGACACATTCATTAATCATCATCATCATCATCATCATCACAATAATGATACATTTATCCAGCGTCATTTACCTTGAACGTCTGTCCTTGGTGTTTTCACGCAAGTTTGTTCCTTAACAACGAAAGTGTTTTTGTTTTTATCATATCCTTATTTTTTTTCTTTTTCTTTTCTTTTTTCCATTTATGTGGCGGATGCGGTGGTGGTTGCCAAGGGGAGGGGGAGGGTTGTTGTGGTAAAAATATGGTTTTTATTCCTGGATAATGTTGATTTGTTGTTTGTTAACAAATGTGAGTAAGCAGAAAGAATAGGTTGTTCGCTAGTTGCTTCGTGTCATGTAGCACAGGTGCATGATTTTGTGTGTGATGTGAGTGTCTGATGGGTTTGATTTTGTGTGTGTGTGTGCGAGGCGAGCATTACTTCGTACTCACCTCCTCATCGTCTTCGGAGTCCCCAGAGTAACCGGTCTCGGTCAAGGAGTGTTTCCTCCCCCCCGTGTCGTCGAGGTGTTTGGCCCCCGTCAGGAGGGAGTCCGACGCCCTCCGCACCCACACGCCCCTCGCAGGAGGCTTGCGCCCCCCCGGCACCACCACCACCGCGTCCTGCGAGCTCTCCTGGAAGTCCTCGTCGCTGGAGGAGATGACGGCGTTGCTCCTGGTGAGCGCTGGTCTCTGCCGCGGCCTAGCGTGCGGGCGTGCGGGTGCGCTGGCGTTGGATGACGTGGGCGAGGCGGGGCCGCACTTCGACGTCGCCTCCAGGAGCTCGTTCTCGGAGACGCAGCGCCGCGTCTCGAGGCGCCCGTGGTCTATCGTGGGTCGTTTGCCCACGAAGCTCTTGCTGAAGCACTTCGGCGACTCGCACAGCGAACTCACGTCGCTGCACGTGGCGGAGGTGGCCGGGGAAGTGGTCCTCCTCTCGGGGTCCTTCCTGTGGTCCCTGGCGGCCTCGCTCCGAGCGGCGTCGGAGAGAAAGTCGTTCTCGGATTTTGATGAGTTGGGAGCTCCGCGCGGCGACTCGGCCTTGACTTGCGGGTCGTCGAGGTCGTTCGCCGAGATGCTGAGCCTCGAGCCCTCTCCCTGGTTCGCATGGTTCTCCAAGAGCTTTTCGAAGAACATCGCCAGGAGGGGGCGGTCCGTGGTAGACATGGCTGAAGTCGGGCGTGACGACGGCGCCGAAGACGGCTTGGAGGACCTGGGCGACGGCACCGGGCGGGACCGCGGCGCCGGGACTGGCGAGGGAGACTTGGAAGCCTCCCTCGCCGGCGTGGAAGAACCTGAGGCCGTCGCGTCCAAGAGCCTTGAATTCCGACGCTCTTCACGAAAGCTTCTGTTGGAGCTTTCGCTCTCGGAACGACGTCTTCTTTGGCTCCGCTTCGCTACGACGTCAGCATGGTCAGGGTAACTCATGCAATCGTCTGTTCCCTTGTTAGCATCCTTCTTGTCGTCCTGCTGCTCACTCTGGCTGGACTCTGGCCCCAGAATCACCTCAATGCATCTCGCCTCCGATTTACTAGTTGCCCAACCCTGCCGGTCGTGTCCGACATTATCGTACTCGCTCTGAGGAGACGCCATGTCGCTCGGCGCCGCCGCGAAGTAGGGGAAGGGCGACTCAACCTTCCCTTGGCCCTTCTCTTCTGCAGGGTCGTCGTTCTCATCCTCAGACTTCAGCGGGGAATCCGTCCCGCGCGGCTGAGGGGACTCTGGTGGCATTTCCAGCGCGTCGTCTTGCTCGGGAGCCACTGGGAAATCTAACAAGGACTCGTCGTCGGTGGTCTCCCCCAGACGGTACTTGGTGTAGGTCTCGCCGCCGTCGGTCTCTCCATCTGTGGCCGAGTCGGGATGGCTGATTTCGTCGGACTGCTGCTGCTTGGCGTAGATTTCCGAGCGGATGATCTCACAGTCGCTATCCACGAGGGAGAAGCGGCGGTAGTTGTGGACGCTGGAGAGGAATGGAGACTCTGGGGGCTTCCTGTAGCCTGATAGGATCTGAAAGAGCCTTGGCGGTTTCGGCGGAGGCGGCGTCTCGGGCACTTTCGAGGGGTCGATGTTGAGATATTGGTTGTAGCTGTTGAGCTTCTCGAGAGGAAGCTTCGGCGGAGGAGGTCGCTTAGGGGGGATCTTCTTGCCGGATCCTCGCGGCGAAGACTTCCCCAAGGATCTCTCTAAAGCCTCGCGTTCCTCTGAGGAGCTCACGCTGGAAAGCCGCTTGACAATCCTTTGCTTGAGACTGGGCTGGTCGTCACCTGAGCTCAGGCTCGGCGTCTTCATCACAAGGCGGTGAAGAGAGGAGAGGAAACCTTGCTCCTCCGTTGAACTTGAACTCAGAGTGTGTTTTATGGGATACTTTTCTTCGGCTGAAGACTTCCTTGAACTTACCTCTTTGGGATATTCCTTTAGCTCTGTGTGTTGAACTGGAATGGGACTCGCTTTTCTCTGCTCAGGCTCATCACTTTGCCTCTCTTGTTTGTCATTTTCGATCATGTTATCGGCCTCCGAAGTGACAATCACGCTCGGTATGTCCATTTCACGCACTGCATTTCCCTTTTCACTTCGGATTTTCTCGTCTTTGTTTTCTTGCAATTCCACTTTGGCCAGACACTCGTCTTGTGTTTTTTGTTCTTCATCAGGCCTTTGTCGCTCTTTCGGTGGCATTAGAGACGATCTCGGGGTTGCCATAGGCTTCTTTTTCCCTTTATTTTTAACCCTTGCATTGTAGTCTTGAGCCCAAGGAGCTGAGTCTCTCCAGGAGGAGTCTCTCCAAGAGGGTGTTGCACTGTCACTGAGACTCGCCATATCTCGGTCGAACCAGGAAGCATCTTCAGCTGAGGCATGGCCCTTGTGCTTCCTCTGTATGGGTCTTGCTGTCGTTGCCGTCAAGCCATCGATGCTGTGGGTCTTGGATATCTTACGAGGCCTGGGAGGAATTGGAGGCTTGATCTGCGAGGGCGGGGTAATTTTCTCATGGCTTTTACACCTCTCCAGTGTCTCGTATTTGAGGATGATGTCGTGGACCGATCCTCGTTTGGACAATGGACTCTTGTTGGGAGGTTCACTGACATTCTCACCACTGTCTTCATCGTTTTGGTTCGTTAGTTCCTCTTCCTTTGCCATTTCCTCAGCTTGTTTTACGGTCCTTTCCTCTCTGCAAATCTTCGCCGGAGGGTTTTCTCTTTTCTCAGGAACTGGTCTCTTGGGTTCTTCTATCTTGGACATCAGTGAAGAAGAACTTCCTTTTGAAGTCGAATCCTTACCTGTGAGGCTTCTCGTCTCAGGCTCCGCCAAGGACCTCCGTCGTGGCACGTATGGATAGTAGTCGTCATCATCATCAAAGTCCCCAGGTTCGATGTAGTCGTGGCTGAGCGTCAGCATCCTCACATCAACCATGAACTCGTCTTGCGTTGGGAAATTATTTTCTTTGAGAATATCATCGTAGCTCCTCGAGAGGCCGTTGTCCGGATTTCTGTCCAAAGCACTCAAGTCCATTGTGCTTTTGGACTTCTTTCCGATTGCTGTCTTGAAAGCCTTTAAGGGGCCAGAGGATTTTGGTTTCACAGGAGGCCGAAGTTTCACTTCCTGCTCACTAACACCTGGCATCTTGTAAAACTTTTTGCCCCCTAGCTTATTTTTCTTCATTTTCTTGACTGCAGAAGCAGAGGACTCGATGCTCGTGAAACTTGTGATAGAAACAGAGTCCCCTTCTGCCTTCTTGGCCTTTGATGAGGATGTGAATTCACTGGCGTCTTTAGCGAACCCAGTCAGTGTTGGTTCGAAAGGAGCAGGGTTTCTCAGCCTTTGGAAGTTGACCTTAAAATTACTCAGCTTGCCCAAATGTTCAGAGAGGTGACTCCCTGTGCTGGATCGAACAGAAGATGCATTTTCTAACTCTACTTTCTTCTTTCTGAGGAAGGTCATTGGGGACGCACTCAGAGATTCTGTGAGAGGCTTTTTAGGCGGTGGGATTGGCTTCTCAACTTTTTTTCGCGTGAAAGGAAGGGGCGACAAATTCTGTGCTTTCATTTCTGGTTTCTCAAACTTGTCCTTTGTTGAACCACTTTTGGGCATGTGCAGTTTTCCGATACCTTTGTTCCAAGACTTCTTCAGGGCTTTGTTCATGCTTCCGAGAGTCTTGGGCTTTCGAGGTCCCTTATGACACTTCGGACAGCAGGCCTCAGGGGGGTAGGTCATGATCTGCTGTACCGTCGGCAGGTCGAAGCTCACGGACTTGCGTCGTTCGTAGGTCGACGACCAGCTCTGGCGAGGGTTTGTGGCTCGGTCGAAGGTGTCTGGCTTTCTCTCTCTCTCTCCCTGCAGGGCCGAGCAGCTTTTCCAGGAGGAGAGAGGCGGCTTTTCCTTGACGTTCATTGGGTGGTACTGCGGCGTTTTATCCAGGTCGTGACTGACGCTTTTCCAGGCCGAGAAATTCAGCTTCTCGACGTAATCCTCCTCAGGATCGGATGAGGACGTCATGCTGATCCTCCTCAGGGCGTCGCTGCTGCCAGTCAAGGAGGGCGAGCACAGGTTACTAAATTCCTTCTGGCAGGTGATCGTCAGGGAGGATCGCCTGGGCCGGAGTCGCAGCTTCACCTCGTGGGCGTCTGCTCTCTCTCCTGCCGTTCTCTCCCCCGGCGATCCGTCTCTTCCTCGGTCGTTCGCCGTTGAGCTTCCGGCCTTGCTGAGGGGAAGGTGGCAGTGGTTGCACTTGGGATGGGTGGGGGGGAGGCTGAGGGGCAGGGCCTCCTCCCCTTGATGTGGGTGCTGCATTTTGTTCTTGCTTCTAATTCGTCTGTTAGGTTCGAGTCATGTTAGCTTATTTCCCCTTGATGCATGGGAAACAAGGGTACTTTCTTTTCCTGTACATTTTCCAAAACACTAGCTCTGCGCATCAATATCTTAATCTTTTTTTACGTCCTTTGATCTACATCACGCTAAACAATGATAAAAACCTAAGAAAGAAATAGGAAAGATATGAACGAATTCCCTCTTTTCCCCGCATCCCAATCACTCCTTATCACAGCACAAGTTCACAACACCGAATCCCAACCCTTCTCGGACGTCACTTCCGGTCACATCACAAATCACCCGAAATGGTCCACATTTTCGTCACCACAGCAGAGGGCCGTCTCCCCTCGCGACAAGTGCACGGAACCGACTGAACAGCTGTCGGCGGTGGTTCCTGGCCGACAAATGCTGGCACACATGTTCTCGCAGCTGTGGCTCGGCTATCATCGCAGGTGAATCACCGGGCCTCCTCCGCTGCCTCTTCTATCCCCTGGGGGCGGCACGCAGCTCTATCCAGAATAGGGCGTCCTTTCTTGCGTCCAGGACTGAGAGTTTCAAGGGAATCTCACCCTTCTGGAGTTCTCAATGCTTTGCTTTATTTTTAGATGATTTCTATGTTTAATATTTCACAGGATACTTATTATATGTTATTAAAAGGCGCAACGGCAGTTTATCAATTTAAATGCAAATATGTACATCTGGGTGACCTGGTCTCCCCTTTAAAGTTGTAAAGTTCTTCTTATTTTGTTCTTGCAAGTAGTTCAGTATATTCATCATTAATTCGCTACATGATGTATTTTCTCACTTATGCCTTTGTCGGTACATTGAAACACTCTCGCATTGTTTTTAACTTGCGTTTGTACCGAGAAGGTTTATTTCACCTTGTATTATATCGCGTTTTGATGTATATCACTTTTGCACTTTTATGATAAGTTCAGTCAGTGTGTGCATATGTGTGTGTGTGTGTGTGTGTATGCGTGTGTGTGTATATTTTGTATACACATTTATTTTCATAACCAAAATCTCGGTGTCAGAATAATTGCTTGTCATTCAAGATTTTTTTTTTTTTTTTTCTCATTAACGAATCAAACAATAATTCTTCTCGACATCAGTTCCAACAACAAGATGACGCACGTATAAAATCGACATTATCTTCTTATTCATCTATTTACCCAATTCGCTAAACGCCCTCCCTCTCCCCCTGCCCCCCCCCCTCACACACACAAAATAAATTACCAAAACAAACAATGGCGCAACGTCAACCCGAATCGAGCGTCAAAACGCGGGGAATTTTAGTCTCTATGTCACCACGCAATAAGGGTATTTTCCGTCCAGCCGCATTAGCGAGTATGTGACCCATTTAAAGGACCGGAAAGTGGGTTGCGTTTCTGGTTGTCAATAGTCATACGAATAGGAATACGGGCGGCCAGGTGGAGGGAGGGAGGGGGGAGGGAAGAGAGGGGAAGGGAGGGTAAGGGAGAGGATGGAGGGAGGGAGGGGAGGGATGCTAAGTGGGGGGAGGC